GATCATTTGAGCTCAGTTCGTTCACCAATCAGATTTGTGGGGGGAGCATGTGAAATATGAGAGGAGGTATGACTGCGTTACCCTCCTGGCATTTCATTACCTTGATATAAACAAGTGTAAATTGCTCCTGAAATGTTTTGGAGCCGGATGGCAATGGCTCACATCTTAATCTTAAAGCCAGCTTTGGAAGCGCCGCGGCCAGAGGATAGCTTTGAAGCCAGGAGTTTGAGACCAGGCCTGGGAGCAAAATAGTGGAGCTCTGTCGGCTACAAAAAAAAAAAAAAGAAAAAAAACAGAAGAAGCCAGGCATGTGTAGTAGTGCCATAGTGTCATGACTATAGGCAGGCGAATAGCCACTCGCTTGAGGCTGAGTTGAGGTTGCAGGTGAGCTATGATGGACACTGACTCTAGGCCAAGTAGATAGACCAAGCAATTCTGTTCAAACTAAACAACAACGACAAAAAAAAATTGGCTTATTGCCAGTAAATGAGTAACAGTGATGTTGTTTTTTCTTCTTTGTTGAGCTCTTTAAAAAAAAAAAAATCAGTTTTATTGAGTTAATTTATATGAATAAAATGCCTCATTTGGTCTGTAAGCATTTAGATGATTTTTTTTTTTTTTTTTTTTTTTTTTGAGACAGAGTCTCGCTTTGTTGCCCAGGGCTAGAGTGAGTGCCGTGGCGTCAGCCTAGCTCACAGCAACCTCAAACTCCTGGGCCAGAGGATCCTTCTGCCTCAGCCTCCCGGTAGCTGGGACTACAGGCAGCGCCACCATGCCCGGCTATTGTTTATATTATATATATTAGTTGGCCAATTAATTTCTTTCTATTTTTATGTAGCAGACGGGTTCCTCTTGCTCAGGCTGGTTTTGAACTCCTGACCCTTTGAGCAATCGCCCCGCCTCGGCCTTCCCAAGTGCTAGGATTACAGGCGTGCAGCCACGCAGCGCCCGGCTCAAGCATTTAGATGATTTTGACAAATATATGCAGCCTTGTAACACCACAACCAGAATCCAGATAATCTTTGTATTCCTCTTTGACTTAGGGCAGCGTTTTACAAAATACTCCAAAAAACTTTTTTCCTGAAATTTATTTTTGTTACTTTCTTTTCTCTATTCAGATGATCGACAGTGAACCTATTTGGGGCAATGGTTTGGAGGAGACCATCTCGCCCTCGAGTAAAGAGAAAGGTGGCACCGTCCACCACTCCCGGCACCCCCTCCGCTGGAGACTCTCCTCGAGTTAAAGCCCCAGTAAGGCAGGCCCCCTGGTGAGAAGGGCAACATTCTTGGCTAGCGCAGAAGATCCTGAGTGGTAAGATGTGGATTCTGACGTTTTGGAGAAGTGGAAAATGGGGGAGCTGGGGGATGAGAAGCAATCATTTGAACTAAGAACATTTTATAGGTTGAATAGTAACGTTTTAAGCTTAAAGATATTTTTGCTTAGGAACTTCTGTGTTATGATTAATGTTTCATAAATCACTTGTATAGTGCTGTTTGCTTCTCTGATTGCCTTTGGAAATTAGACAGAAGTAGGCTTGAATCCTCCTGTTACTTTCTGGCTTCAGACCTTGGCAAGAATCTGAACTTCTCCAGGTCTCAATTTTGTCTTCTATTATATGGAAATGGATGTGACACATGCCTCTAAAGTGTTGTGAGACTTAAAGAGGAGTATGTTTAATAGGTACTTCAGCATTAAGTTTGATACACTCTCAAGGCTTACAGTCAATAGCTAGGTTACAATTCTTGTCTTCATATGAGCTTACAGTCGTAATTGAAGGAATGGATTATAAAACATTTATATAGTACTTAAGTTTAATTTTAATAGAAAGAGTGGATTCTAAATATTGTGTATAATCATATATAATTTCAGAATTGAATTATTGATATACTAACCTGCAGCTGGACAATGAGAGCACTTTAGGGGACAAAAGAAATGGCCAGTACTTTGAAATCCTATGTTTCATACACTATTGGTCAAGTCTATTGTACATAAACTGGCATGCATTTTACATTAAGCTGTAGAATTACGATGGAAGACTACATATAAATTAGTTCAATGTAAGTGGAAATTAAAATCTGATTCTTTGATTCTTTGTGTTTTTACATGAGGACCTTTTTTAGGGCATATTTAAGTTTACTATTTGTATTCAGGCGTTTTGTAGGAGCATGTTGGTTTATAATCCGTGAATTGAATTTTTTTGTGTTTCCTTTTAGTTCTTAGGTCTGGCTTCGAGATTTTTGAACTTATCACTTTCTTTTCTTCCATGGCTAAACTCTTCGGACAATTTATTCCGAAACTATCTGAGTGGTGTTCTCTTTCGAAACACCATATGGCACTCTGGCCATGTATCATTAAGAAGTGGACAAAGATGGACTCAAGCGGTAGTAGATAAGATATTGTACTGGTAGATTTTTTTCTAGTAGAGTTTGGACTGTTGGCAGGGGTGGTGTGGTGCATCAAATATTCTGTCAAGTGATGACTTTTTCAGCTTGTCTTCAAGTTCATCAGTGAAGAGTTGCTGCTGCTCTCTATCTACTTCAACCACTCTTGGGTGAACCTCTGACCTTCATCACCTAATTTGCAGGTTGTGTGGCACATAACTGTCTACGCCAAGAGCTCTTATACCAGCCTCCGTAGGCTGCGTTCTCAGATTGTTAGGGAAAACCAGGTTTTGGCCCATCAAAGCTCCTCACTGCAAGGAGAGTTGAGGGATTATTTAGATATATTCCCTGTGTTAAATTGATGATAATTTTTCCAAAAGAAACAAGACAATGTGTTCTGTACCCCAAAGTCAGTAAGTTTAAAAAAAGAAAAAACTATCAAACAAACAACTACCAAGATTGATGCTAGTAGAGAAGCTACAAATACTCAAGAGGACAATTTATAAAAAGAATATAGAGATGGCAAAAAAAAATTGTCATTAATAATTGGAAGAAATACGATCAAAATTTATTTCAAAAAATCAAAATCATAGGAGATAGAGCATTCTCATATACATCCTATTTGTAAACCTTACCACCAGAACAGAGTTCTCTAGACTTGATTCGTGACTTGCTAGTCTTAATGTTTTCTTTCCTCACTGAAGTAGCTGATATCTTGAATCTCGAAATTCTCAGTCTCCAGTATATATAGTTGACTCCTTAACATGCAAACGGTTGGGACACCGACTCCCTGTGCACCTCAAAACTTACTCGCTAAAGCTTAGTTGATCAGGAAGTTTATGGGTGATATAAAAGTTAATTAACACACATTTGCATGTTATAGTATTATTATATGTATTCTTACAATAAAACAAGCTATGAAAAAAATTGGATTAAGAAAATATATGGCCGGCGTGGTGGTCACGCCTGTAATCCTACCACCTCTGGGCCGGGGTGGCGAGATCTCCAGGTAGGAGTTTGAACCAGCCTGACAGAGCGAGAGCCCATCTCTACTATAATAGAAAGAAATCATGGCAACAATACTATTAGAAAATCAGCTGGGCATGGTGGTGCATGCCTGTAGTCCGCAGCTACTCAGGAGGCGTGAGGCAGCAGAATTGCTTGACGCCAGGAGTTGGGTTGCTGTGAGCTAGGCTGACGCCATGGCACTTCACTCTAGCCTGGACAAACAAAGTACGACTCTGTCTCAAAAAAAAATAAAAAAAAATACATATGGAAGAGAAAATACACTTACTGTTTATTGAGTGGAAGTAGATCATCGTAAAGATCTTCATTCTCATTGTCTTCAAATTGAGTAGGCCGAAGAGGAGGGAGAGGAGGGGTTGGATGTGCTATCTCAGGGGTCGCAGAGGTGGAAGGAAATCTTTGTATGAGTTTACCCATGCATGCAGTTCAAACCCATGTTGTTCAAGGGTCAATTGTATATATTATCCATATTTTTTTAAATAAAATGTTTAGGCTGGCATTTTTGTAGAGAGGGTCTTGCTGTTGCTCAGGCTGGTCTTGAACTCCTGAGCTCAGGCAATCCTCCTGCCTCAGCCTCCCAGAGTGCTAGGATTGCAGGCATGAGCTATTGTGCCCACCCTCCAAATTTCTTATTTTGATAAATTTTCCTTTGATAAACCTCCTGAAACATAAACTTTTGGAAACTTATGTAATTGTCTTCTTGGGGGTGAATTCTTAAAAGTATAACTGTTAGGTCAACGGGCACACATATTCAAAAATTTAAAATGTTTTGTTTGCCAAACTGCTTTTCAGAAAAGGTAGACTAATTTGTGTTCCCACCAGCTGTGTGTGTGCACATGCCTAATTCCCCATGTTCTTTTTGGTACTGGGTATCATTAGTTTTATATTTGCTACTCTTAGAGGAGAAAAATGCTATTATATTGCATTTATTTGTATTTCTTTGATTACCAGTGTGATTGTATTTCATTTCACATATTTATTGGTCATTTATGTTTATTCTTTTGTAAATTGCCTGTGTCCTTTGTCTTAGTTTTCTCTTTGGTGTTCTTTTTTCTTATTGATTTATATGAACTTATTGTGTATTATATATATTAACCCTTTGTCATGTGGACATTTTGGACAGAAAGAAAACATTTTACTCAAATTGTAAACTTTTTGTTTTTATTCTCTTGGTTTTGTTTGCAGATATCTTACAGAAGTTGTTAATTTTAACTTTTTGCTTCTCAAAAGAATGATTCTTTAAAAGTCCAACCACTATTTAAATGTTTGCAGCTTCACACGGCCCATTAGCTTTGAATTGATAGTTTAAATTCTGAAAATCCATGGATTTAGATAAGTTTCTTCTAGTCCAGGAGAATCTGAAGCTGGCAGATGTGTAGGCAGTCCATTGGATGGGCTTCGGTGAGATTATGAACTTCAAAAATTACATGTAGATTTTGTGTGTATGTACAATAAGTTTTCTGGGGAAATGTACATAGATTGGATAGCAGCCAAAAGGATCTAAGGGCCCAAAATGGCAAGATCCACTGTTTCAGAGGCTATAGTTATTGTTAATTATTTTAAGGTTTATATATTCTTTTTTGTGTGTGTAGGCATCAGGGATTTGGGGTACTCTCTGTAATACTGGCAAACCATGCCATCAAGCTGTTAACGTCTCTCTTTCAAGACCTGCAAGTGGAGGCCCTTCACAAGGTGAGGCGATTACACTCTTGGGAATTAGCATATTAATTTCTGGATCTTCTTTTGGGCAAGCTAGCTTGATCCATCAACTCAGGGTTTTTTCTGGCTGAGTTGTATCATGAATTTCTCTTTGATATTGCTGCCTTCAGGGTTGGGAGACAGATGGTCCGCCTGCGGCCCTGAGCATTATGGCCCAGAGCACCTCCATACAGAGGATTCAACGGCTGATTGACTCTGTCCCACTGACAAACCTGCTCTTGACGTTACTTTCAACTTCCTACAGAAAGGTGGGTGGGAATCAAGCCATTGATACTTTGGAAGAATTATATATATAACCTTGAAATGAGTAAGTCTGACCATACACCATGATTTCTATAAACCCAAAAACGTGGTAATGCTTTTGAAGAAGAGAGGAATTCTTAACTGCTTTAATGTATCCAAGCATTTGCATCAGTTCTTGATTATCAGCACTGATACCTGTGGCTATTTGGTGATTTGTGATGGTTGGCATACTGAAGCAGAAACGTAGAGGACACTATGGCAATTGCTTTTTTCAGTTCTTATACATACCTCTGGTTGGTAGTGTTTTTTTAGAATAAAGTGATGTAATTGCAGGAGGGAGCTATTAGGAGAAATACTTCTTGGGTTCAGAAAAAAACAATGAGATATCATTAAAACTTTTCATATGGTGAATGAGATTAAGTTGATGGCTCTGTTTTTATGATTGTTGTTTTCCTAGGCATGTGTCCTGCAGCGGCAGAGGAAGGGCTCCATGAGCAGTGATGCCAGTGCCTCCACTGACTCAAACACCTATTATGAGGACGATTTTAGTAGCACAGAGGAGGACAGCAGCCAAGGTAGAGGCCTCTCTTTTCTCTGTCTCAGGGATAAGCTGCAGAGTGCAACAGGAGGGTTCCCAGTAGGTTCCTTTAGTTTCCTTTTTACCATTTTGTTTTCATCTGCCTAGCCTGGACCTTGATTTTATATGCACTCGAAGATGACATCTTATTTAAGAGAAAGTTGACATAACTTTCAGCCAAGCCCAGATTGCTTTTCATTCCTTTCTCTCTTAAAATCAGAATACATCTCAATTATTCATATTTTTTCATGTGTTGACTCATTTTGTGACCTCTGCTTTGAGCTTTCTCAGTGAAACTCAAACAGTTACCTGTATTTGGTTTGGATGTGGTCAGAGTCACATTTTAGGGAAGCATAAAGGAAAGAAATTCAAGACTGTTGTAGTGAACAACAGGGCCAAGCTAACATTCCCTTCTTACTTAGTTTGGAGAGAGTGAATAAGGTAAATATCTCAGATTCTTCTTCACAATCAGATTTGTGGGAGCAGTGTGAAATATTGAGAGAGGTATGACTGTTACCCTCCTGGCATTTATACTTGATAAAACAAGTGTAAATTTGCTCCTGAAAATGTTTGGAGCCGGATGCAATGGCTCACATCTGTAATCTTAGCACTTTGGAAGGCCGAGGCCAGAGGATCGCTTGAAGCCAGGAGTTTGAGACCAGCCTGAGCAAAATAGTGAGACTCTGTCGCTACAAAAAAAAAAAAGAAAAAAAAAAAGAAGCCAGGCATGGTGGTATATGCCTATAGTCTCCACTATAGGCAGGAAGGCCGCTTGCTTGAGCTGAGTTTGAGGTTGCAGTGAGCTATGATGACACTGCACTCTAGCCAAGTAATAGACCAAGATTCTGTTTCAAACTAAACAAAAAACAAAAAAAATTGGCTTATTGCCAGTAAAATAAAGTGATGTTGTTTTTCTTTCTTTGTTGAGCTCCTTTAAAAAAAAATCAGTTTTATTGAGGTGTAATTTATATGCAATAAAATGCTCTCATTTTCTGTAAGCATTTAGATGAGTTTTGACAAATATATGCAGCCTTGTAACCACCACAACCACAATCCAGATAATCTTTGTATTCCTTTTGACTTAGGCACTTTTGGAAAGCAAATGCTCCAAAAAACTTTTTTCTAAATTTATTTTTGTTACTTTCTTTTTCTCTATTCAGATGATGACAGTGAACCTATTTTGGGGCAATGGTTTGAGGAGACCATCTCCCCTAGTAAAGAGAAAGTGGCACCTCCACCCCCTCCCCCACCCCCTCCGCTGGAGAGCTCTCCTCGAGTTAAAAGCCCCAGTAAGCAGGCCCCTGGTGAGAAGGGCAACATTTTGGCTAGTCGCAAAGATCCTGAGTTGGTAAGAGTGGATTTCTGAGGTTTTGGGGAAGTGGAAATGGGGAGCTAGGGGATGAGAAGCAGATCATTTGAACTAAAACATTTTATAGGTTGAATAACTGTAATGCTTAAAGATATTTTTGCTTAGAACTTCTGTGTATTGATTATGTTTCATTAAATCACTTATATTGCTGGTATTGCTTCTCTGATTGCCTTTGGAATTAGAGAGAAGTAGGCTTGAATCCTCCTGTTACTTTCTGGCTTCATGACCTTGGGCAAGAATCTGAACTTCTCCAGGTCTCAATTTTGTCTTCTATTATATGGAAATGATTACACATGCCTCTAAAGGTGTTGTGAAGACTTAAAGAGAGTATGTTTAATGTACTTAGCATAGGTCTGATACATCTCAAGTGCTTACAGTCAATGAGCTAGGTACAATTCTTGTCTTCATATAGCTTACAGTCTAATGAAGGATATGGATATAAAACATTTATATAGTACTTAAGTTTAATTTTAATAGAGAAGAGCTGGGAATTCTATATATGTGTAATAATCGTATATATAGGTTTCAGAATTGAATATATTAATACTAACCTGCAGCTGGACAATGAGAGCACTTTAGAGGGACAAAAGAAATGGCTCAGTCTATTTGGAAATCCTATGTCTTCATACACTATTTGGTCAAGTCTATTGTACTAAACTGGCATGCCATTTTACATAACTGGTGGAATTACATGGGAAAGACTCACATAATTAAACTTAGTTTCAATGTAAGTGAATTAAAATCTGATTCTTTGATTCTTTGTGTTTACATGAGACCTATGGGCATATTTAATTTACTATTTGTATTCAGGGTTTGTAGGAGCATTGGGTTTATAATCCTGATATGAATTTTTTTGTGTTCCTTTTAGTTCTTAGGTCTGGCTTCCAACATTTTGAACTTCATCACCTCTTCCATGCTAAACTCTCGGAACAATTTTATCCGAAACTATCTGAGTGTGTCTCTTTCAGAACACCATATGGCCACTCTGGCCAGTATCATTAAGGAAGTGGACAAAGATGGACTCAAGGGTCAGTAGATAAGATATGTACCTGGTAGATTTTTTTCTAGTAGAGTTTGGCTGTTGGCAGGGTGGTGTGGTGCATCAAATATCTGCTCAAGTGATTGATTTTTCCACTTGTCTTCAAGGTTCATCAGATGAAGAGTTTGCTGCTGCTCTCTATCACTTCAACCACTCTCTGGTAACCTCTGACCTTCAGTCACCTAATTTGCAGGTTTGTGTGCACAATAACTGTCTAGGCCAAGAGCTCTTTATACCAGCTCCCGTAGGCTGCAGTTGCTCCAGTTGTTAGGGAACAGTTTGCCATCAAAGCTCCTCACTGCAAAGAGAGTTGAGAGATTATTCTAGTATATCCCTGTGTCTAAATTAGGATAATTTCAAGAAAAAGACAATGTGTTCTGTATCCCCAAGTCAGTAAGTTTAAAAAAAAGAAAAAACTACAAAAACAAACAACCTACCAATGATGATGCTAGTAGAGAAGTAGACAAAATACTCAAGAGGACAATTTATAAAAAAGGAATATAAATGGCAAAAAAAAAAAATTGTCATTAATAATTGAAGAAATACAGATCAAAATTTATTTCAAAAAAATCACATCATAGGAGATAGATGCTCTCATATACACTCCTATTTGTAAACCTACCACCAGAACAGAGTCTCTAAGACCTTGATTGTGAACTTCTAGTCTTACTGTTTTCTTTCCTCACTGAAGTAGCTGATACCTTGAATCCTGAATCTCAAGGTTCCATGTATATATAGTTGACTCCTGAACAATGCAAGGGTTGGGACACTGACTCCCTGTGCCTCCAAAACTTAGCTCCTAATAGCTTACTGTTGATCAGAAGTCTTATGGGTGATATAAAAGTTAATTAACACACATTTTGCATGTTATAGTTATTATATACTGTATTCTTACAATAAAACAAGCTAGAGAAAAGAAATTGTTATTAAGAAAATCATATGGGCCGGGCGTGGTGGCTCACGCCTGTAATCCTACCACTCTGGGAGGCCGGGGTAGGCAGATTGCTCGAGGTCAGGAGTTTGAAACCAGCCTGAGCAAGAGCGAGACCCCATCTCTACTATAAATAGAAAGAAATTAATTGGCCAACTAATATATATAGAAAAAATCAGCTGGGCATGGTGGTGCATGCCTGTAGTCCCAGCTACTCGAGTGGCTGAGGCAGAAGGATTGCTTGAGCCCAGGAGTTTGAGGTTGCTGTGAGCTAGGCTGACTCCATGGCACTCACTCTAGCCTGGGCAACGAAGTGAGACTCTGTCTCAAAAAAAAAAAAAAAAAATGATTGTGGAATGTGTGTGGACTTGCAGCCTTGTTGCCTTTAACTACTGACGTTTGGCAAAGGAAATCCTCAAACTTCCCTCTTCATTTGATCTCCAAACATGGGACTTAAATTCTTCTCCCAAACTTCTTTGCTGTGATGAAAGGTAGTGAAGGATATTCTATATCTGTCATTGAATTCTTCTGTCTTGGATATTGTTTCTTTGGAGTAATGTATCACACAGAGCCTCTTCGCTTCCGTACCTGACTTATGTGGCAACACACACACATAGTACCCTCTAAGGGAACTTAATAAAAGGTACCCCAATCTGTGAAAGTAGACAACTAGAGAAGTTATATCTCAAACATTGTCTTCAACTGTCAGGGCAACAAAATATTATGATTCTGAGTAAGACCAGTAGGCCTATTTGCTACTTAGAGAAGAAATTGAAACCTGCTTATTTATGATTTTTGAATATCTTGGCAAGTGGACTTTCTACTAAAAGTCTGTGAAGAGATGGGTTTGGCATGACCTCTCTGTTCTTTTAAATTTGTCTACTGAAGCAGTCTATTAAAGTGATCAGGTAGCTGAGGTGTTGTTTTTGATATCAATAGATTCTAGGATGTTTCTTTGGAAGTCTCTCTTCCTAGACTCCTTTTTTTTTTTTGAGACATGGTCTCTCTCTGTTTTCTGGAGCTAGAATGCAGTGGCATCATCACAGCTCCCTGCAGCCTCAAACTCCTGGGCTTAAGTGATCCTCCTCCCTCAGCCTTCTGAGTAGCTAGGACTACAGGCGTGTACCACTACACCCAGCTAAATTTTTAATTTTTTAGTAGAGGCAAGGTCTCACTATTGCCCAGGCTGGATCTAGACTCTTTCTTTAATAAATAATAATTAGCAGGCCGGGCGCAGTGGCTCATACCTATAATCCTAGCACCCTGGGAGGCCGAGGCAGATGGATCACTCAAGGTCAGGAGTTCTAAACCAGCCTGAGCAAGAGTGAGACCCTGTCTCTACTAAAAACAGAAAGAAATTAATTGACAAACTAAAAATATACAGGAAAAATTAGCCGGGCATGATGGTGCATGCCTGTAGTCCCAGCTACTCGGGAGGCTGAGGCAGAGGCTGAGGCAGAAGGATTGCTTGAGCCCAGGAGTTTGAGGTTGCTGTGAGCTAGGCTGACACCACAGCACTCTAGCCCAGGCAACAGAGTGAGACCCTGTCTCAAATAAAAAAAAAAAAATTATTAGCATTTACTAGAAGCTAAGTACCCTTCTAAGTACTATGAGGTAATCAAAGCTGAAACAAAGCCCCTGTTTTCTGGGAATAGAATTTGGTAGGTACACAGTAAATTTAACAGAATTTATTGAGTGTCCAAATGGAGAAAGAAGAGTGGAGGTTAAAGGAAGAGGGAGAATGCTTTTTGTCCGAATGTTGGTGGGGGCGGTTGTGTGGATTGGGAAGGTAGGACTCCAGAGAAGCTATGGAATGTGTATAATGTTAGTATACTAGGTAGGAAGTCAGAGGGGTAACAGCAAAGAAGGTGGAGTGCTTAAGGTGCTGCATATAGAGAGTGCAAAAAGTGCCTCACTTTGGTTGAGAAATGGATGCCACATTGTTTCGGATAAATTGTTAAGGAGTCTTAAAATCCATATGAAAAGTTGAAATAGTAGCCACTGAGCTACTATTTCAGCCACTGAGCCACTGGGCTGTGCTTTTATGATAGTAAGATGGGCCTTGGAGAAAATGGAGGTCCACAAGGTCAGTGGTTGTTAAATGAATTAGGACATGACAAGGGATTAAAGTTATGCCTGGCTCTAGACCACAATGAGATACCACTTCACACCCATTAGTATGGCTGTTATCAAAACAGTGGAAATGTTTCTGATGATGTGGAGAAAGTGGAATCCTTGTGCATCACTGGTGGGAATGTAAAATGGTGTGGTTGCTGTGGAAAATGGTATGGCAATTCCACAAAAAAATGACATGTAGTGCCATGTGGTGGTGCACACCTGTAGTCCCAGCTACTTGCAAGGCTGAGGCAAGAAGAGCCCAGGAGTTCAAGGCTTTAGTGTGCTATGATTGTGCCTGTGAATTGCCACTGCACTCCAACTTGGGCAACATAGCAAGACCCCATCTCAAAAGAGGGGAAAATAGGGACTTAGTGTTTAATGGGTACAGTGTTTCAGTTGGGAAAGATGGAACATTTTGGAATGTGGATGGTGATAAATGTTGCACAATAATGTATATATACTTAATGCTACGGAATTGTATATGTAAAATGGTAAATTTTGTGTTATGATATTTAGCTCCCCCCACAAATAGTGCTTGACACATAGTACTAGTACCTACTAAATATTAGCTGCTATCCTTATACTTTTATTACTTAATATTGTTATTGCAGTCTCTGGGTTCATTCATTCAATAAATATTCACTGAGCATCTACTATGTGCACGTACTGTTAGAGACACTGAAAAAATAAAGATAACTTGAATTAACGTGGGATTGTGAAAGTTAGTTACCTTAGAGCTAGTAAAGGTTGGAGTGGGAGGGAAAAACCAACTTCCTGTGAAATGTTAGCTCATTTCTTATGGCTCTGAGGCTTACAAAAGTGACACAATGATGAAAACAAAAGCCCTCACTTAAAAAAATATTGTAGAAATGACATTATAAGGAATATATGTTATCCGTATTTATGTCTGTGGGTACCTTGATTTGAACACTTAGATTTTTTTTCCTGATTTTTCTTTTATTAGAATTGTTCTATAGTTAATGTAGCTCAGGTAGGTTTATCTCTTTTGAATTATTTCATTGGAGCCAGGAATTGAGAAGTTATATATGGCTGTGTTGAGCATAGTAGTTAGGAATTTGTGTTTTAGAGATAAACCTGGCTTCACCTTATTTTGGCTTTGGTCATGTTTACCCTGCCTCATCAGTGACATAGAGCACATACCACTAACCTCCTGTCACTGCCCTGCACATTCAGTGTGATGACAGTGTATGCATAGTACTTAGCTCAGAGCTTGGTCTATGGTAACTGCCCAATGCATGCATACTGCTTTTGAGGTCAGCAGCATTTTGAGGAGAGAGCGTGCCGAATCCTAACCATTAGATCACCAGGGAGTGACAGCATTTTGAATAATATTCATTTCCAAGGAATGGGGTCCTCAAGGATGTATTATAAGAATATAATTTAATTTGGCAGACTTACAAATTTGTCCTACATCTTGCAATAACCATGGTTTGTATCGTCTGAAGCCAAATGAGAAAGCAGGCATTTGTCTGGATTTCCGTTGGCATCCTGCTCAGTTTGTGTGTGTGTGTTTGAGAAGATAAGTTGCAGCTTAGATAACTGAGCTGAAAATGCGGCTCATTTGAAAGAAATGCTACAACTGGAGGCAAAGAACAGCCTTGATTAGTTCTAGGTACCTTGATATCTTATAGGCAAAAATTCTCTGCTAATACTGTTAATACCAGTTGTTGGATCTATAAGTTGTTGGATCTTCCCTTTTGGGTGTTATTTGAATTATGTTATGAACTGGTTATGAAAGAAAAACTGTTAGCTGTTACATTTGTTCAAGAAGTTTTCTTTCAAAGGTTCCAAACTTTTCATGCCCATTTAGAAAATTATCTTTATTCTGCCATATCAATGCCTGTCTTCTTTTTTAAGGAGTCAATTTCTGACACTAATTAACTATAGATGTTAATGGAGTTAGATGAGTAAATTTATGTTTTTCTCATTTGTCGAAGTAAATGATCTTTTTCAAAACTACTTCTAAATCTGAATTTTTGGGTTCTTCTTTCTTTAAAGTACTCTGTCCAGTATTAAAAAATGAACATTAGAGATCATGAGTAACCTTTTGGCCTTATCCTGTGTTTTTATCCTAATGGTTTCTTGTATGTCTTTGCTGTCAGAACACACTGTTGCAACAGCTGGGAGTTGCTCCTTTTGCTGAGGGCCCCTGGCCCTTGTACATTCATCCTCAAAGCCTCTCTGTGCTTTCACGCCTCCTGCTCATCTGGCAGCATAAAGCCGGCACCCAAGGTGATCCAGACGTTCCTGAGTGCCTTAAAGTTTGGGACAGGTAAGATAACCTCCAAAAGAAGGCCTGTAGAGAGGTTATTTCCTTTTTTAATTTGTTTGACTTCTTGGTAGTTCATCTGTGGCTTTGAGATATTACTGTGATGATAGTGTTTAGAGTGGGGAGGGAGGAAGAGTGATGGGGAGTTGGAGGAGATGTGCTATTAAAAAAAGAAATATGGGCCGGGTGCGGTGGCTCACGCCTGTAATCTTAGCACTCTGGGAGGCGGAGATGGGTGGGTCGTTTGAGCTCAGGAGTTCAAGACCAGCCTGAGCAAGAGCGAGACCCCATCTCTACCAAAAAAAAAAAAAAGAAAAAATTAGCTGGGTATCGTGGTGCATGCCTGTAGTCCCAGCTACTTGGGAGGCTGTGACAGGAGGAAAAAAAAATTATTAGCATTTATAGAAGCTAAGTACCCTTCTAAGTACTATGAAGGTAATCAAAAGCTGAAACAAAGCCCCTGTTTTCTGGGAATAGAATTTGGTAGGTACACAGTAAATTTAACAGATTTATTGAGTGTCCAAATGGAGAAAGAGAGTGGAGGTTAAAGGAAGAGGAGAATGCTTTTTGTCCAATGTTGGTGGGGGTTGTGTGGATTGGAAGGTAGGACTCCAGAGAAGCTATGGAATGTGTATAATGTTAGTATACCAGGTAAGAGTCAGAGGGGTAACAGCAAAGAAGGTGGAGTGTTAGGTGCTGCATATAGAGATGCAAAAAGTGCTCACTTTGGTTGAGAAATGGATCACATTGTTTCGGATAAATTGTTAAGGAGTCTTAAAATCCATATGAAAATTGAAATAGTAGCACTGAGCTACTATTTCAGCCACTGAGCCACTGGGCTGTGCTTTTATGATAGTAAGATGGGCCTTGGAGAAAATGGAGTCCACAAGGTCAGTGGTTGTTAAATGAATTAGGACATGACAAGGGATTAAAGTTATGCCTGGCTCTAGACCACAATGAGATACCACTTCACACCCATTAGTATGGCTGTATCAAAACAGTGGAAATGTTTCTGATGATGTGGAGAAAGTGAATCCTTGTGCATCACTGGTGTGAATGTAAAAGTGTGGTTGCTGTGGAAAATGGTATTCAGGAGTTCGAGACCAGTCTGAGCAAGAGCAAGACCCTGTCTCTACTAAAAAAATAGAAAGAAATTAACTGGACAACTAAAAATACATAGGAAGAATTAGCCAGGCATGGTGGCACATACCTGTAGTCCCAGCTACTCTGAGGCTGAGGCAGGAGGATCACTTGAGCCCAGAAGTTTGAGGTTGCTGTGAGCTAGGTTGATGACATGGCACTCTAGCTGGGGCAACAGAGTGAGACTCTGTCTCAAAAAAATAAATAAATAAATAAATAAATAAATAAATAAAAAGATTTATTTGTTTATAGCTTTAAAGCAAATGACATGCTGTATGTAATCTTTTCAAATATTCTTTTTTCACTTAATATTATTATTTCACTTAATATTATATAGTACTATATTGCCAAGATTCATCTACAGATTTCTGTAGTTCTTATTTGGATTGTTGTATGATATTCCATTGCATTTGTGACTATACCGATTGATTCATCTCCTTTCCTCTTCTATTGATGGATATTTGAATTGTGTCCAGGAATTTATTGCTATTCTATATGTTGATATGATCTTCCTTGGCTGTGTCCCCTGTTATGCATGGACAAATGATTCTGTTGGGAACATAACTAGGACTTGAATTGCCAGGTTCTAGAGTATATGATCTTAAACAGATAATGCCAAAGTGCTCTCTGAAGTAGATACACCAATTTTTACTCCCACTAGCAATGTGTCAGTGAGTGTGTGGATTTATATCCTCTCCCAACGTTTGATGATGGCATATTTTGACAATCACTTTCTTGACATGGTCAAAGTTAATGGTTTTCAATCTTTTATTTATTTATTTATTTATTTATTTATTTATTTATTTATTTTAAAGCCAGTCAAATTTAGCAGTGGGGGGTTGAATATGGTTTTCAATCTTTAGTCTACATAAGGATTCCTGGGAAGTTTGTTAAAAATGCAGGTTCCAGGCCGGGCGCGGTGGCTCACGCCTGTAATCCTAGCTCTCTGGGAGGCCGAGGCGGGGGTTTGTTATTTGAATATGTTATGAACTGGTTATGAAAGAAAAAACTGTTAGCTGTTACATTTGTTCAAGAAGTTTTCTTTCAAAGGTTCCAAACTTTTCATGCCCATTTAGAAAATATCTTTATTCTGCCATATCAATGCCTGTCTTCTTTTTTAAGGAGTCCATTTCTGACACTAATAACTATAGATGTTAATGGAGTTAGATGAGTAAATTTATGTTTTTCTCATTTGTCGAAGTAAATGATCTTTTTCAAAACTACTTCTAAATTCTGAATTTTTGGGTTCTTCTTTCTTTAAGTACTCTGTCCAGTATTAAAAAATGAACATTAGAGATCATGAGTAACCTTTTGGCCTTATCCTGTGTTTTTATCTAATGGTTTCTGTATGTCTTTGCTGTCAGAACACACTGTTGCAACAGCTGGGAGTGCTCCTTTGCTGAGGGCCCCTGGCCCTTGTACATTCATCCTCAAAGCCTCTCTGTGCTTTCACGCCTCCTGCTCATCTGGCAGCATAAAGCCGGCACCCAAGGTGATCCAGACGTTCCTGAGTGCCTTAAAAGTTTTGGACAGGTAAGATAACCTCCAAAAGAAGGCCTGTAGAGAGGTTATTTCCTTTTTTAATTTGTTTGACTTCTTGGTAGTTCATCTGTGGCTTTGAGATATTACTGTGATGATAGTGTTTAGAGTGGGGAGGGAGGAAGAGTGATGGGGAGTTGGAGGAGATGTGCTATTAAAAAAAAATATGGCGTGCGGTGGCTCACGCCTGTAATCTTAGCACTCTGGGAGGCGGAGGTGGGTGGGTCGTTTGAGCTCAGGAGTTCAAGACCAGCCTGAGCAAGCGGAGACCATCTCTACCAAAAAAAAAAAGAAAAAATTAGCTGGGTATCGTGGTGCATGCCTGTAGTCCCAGCTACTTGGGAGGCTATGACAGGAGGGTGGCTTGAGCCCAGGAGTTGGAGGTTGCTGTGAGCTAGGCTGACACCACGGCACTCTAGCCCGGGCAACAGAATGAGACTCTGTCTCAAA